TCAAAAAGCTCCACCTATCGGCAGCTATGAATAGTTATGTTTGAGTTCATGTTTATGGAGATGGCAGAACTTTCTCTGTAATTTTTTTGTGACGAAAAATGTATGGAAGTTTCAGGGGCCTGGCTGGACATAGGCCTCTCCCATTGCACGGCACTTAGATTGATTTGCTCAATAAAATCCTCCCCATGCAGACGCAATTAATTGATTAATTAATACTACAAATTAACGAAACTCACATGACTTATTATGGTAGGTGTAATATTTTATATTATATATGTATAATAATAGTATAGTGCATATAATATATACTTAATAAATTGTGATGTGAAAATCGTTTATTAATAACTAGCGAACCGCCCCGGCTTCGCACGGATGCAATGTAGATACTATTAATATACTAATATAGTGTCAGTGTAGGAGTAATTAATTATGCTATTATTATGATAGGACTTTATACAACAGGACATATTTAAATGCAATATTTATAAGCCCGCTCCGAACCTCCCGGTTGCTGCCATCCGGGATGGACGTACGGCTCGAAGGTCGTTGGGCCCCGGCATTTTAAACCTCTAATATCTTCTAAAATATTCATTTTAATGATATTCTGTGAAGAGCAATTTTAATCTACATTAAATGCGCAACGTATTGAACTGAATAAGGAAAATAATGTATTGTTTAAAATAGTTTCGTAAATAACCCATTATTTTTTTGTAAAATTTAAAAGATAAAAATGTTTACTTTGTCTTACATTGGTTATTGATATACAATTCCGTAGTACATTATTTTGGTCTATCTCGTAAGGTTTAGCCAACGTTTGCAATGCAAGCGCACAAAAACATGTTTTTAAGACAAAACTTTGAAATTCTCGGATTCTCTCCAATGGAGAAAATCCGTTGCTTAGTTAAAAGATCTAAGAGTACAACATAAAAAAAAAACTACTTAATTTTATACTAAAGAATTCGATTTTTATAATAGAGTATTCTACCATTCTTAGTACTTTCGTTTAATAATAGGTCTTTACCTATGAAATTGCCGTTTATACAAAACGGCAATTTTAAACTTTTAAGCAATAAGTGAAAGTACTTATTTTTTCAAACTTTTTTATTTCTGTTTTTCGAAGTAATCACCCATGCAATCGACGCATCTTTGCCAACGCATTGGCAGTTTATTGATGCCCTTCTTATAAAAATCAGCTGGACGGGAGGCAACAAACTCTTCAAAGGCATTTTGTACTGCCTCTCGGGAATTAAATTTTTACCCACTAAAAATTTTGTCTAAATTTTGGAAAAAGTAATAGTCGGTAGGTGCAAGGTCAAGGTGGTTTTGACCTACTTTACCACGCTGGCCAGACGGTTGGTATAGGGTTTGTTTCAAGTCTTCCTTCTCTTTGCAGTGCTGTTTTCCTGCGTAGTTTGCTCCCACAGTCGGCTCTTACGACACTCACGGGATAAAAAGGGGTGTTGACACTGTATTCTTAATCCGTCACTACACGGACATTAAAATGTATACTAGTGATTAATTTACTTTGATGTCCTTTGAAACTTCAATCAAAATTCATCAAAATCGTCTGAGTAAATTATAGTCTAAATATGACATTGTGATGTGCAAACAAACACACCTTTACTTTTGTAATTTTCATGAGCAAATAAAATGTTAGTTTATTTTACAGGTTATTTAACACTGGTAGTGTTTGCCCGACGGCTTTGCCGACGTGGAACTATATAACCAAAATGTTAGTCAGGGCGTTTTGTAAACATCTCCTTTTTAGGAATGCACTAAGTATAGTGCATTCCTTCATAGGCGAGTTCATGCTCCGACTCGTACTTGGTCGATTTTCGGATGGCTGTGACGACAACTCTTTTTTTGAGGGCTGGATCCGTGCCTGAATTATCTTCTGACCAACTCCATCAATTAACATGCAGTAAAAAGTTAAATTTATCTGCCTGAAATTGCCATTTTTATTTTTATTTAATCTTGTAAAAAATATTTTACTTTACACATAAAAACCATCTTTTTGGCTAAGATATTAAACTTAGATATATGTATGGTGTCGCGGACTTTTTTATATGACTAAAAGTAGGTAATGAATATTTTAGCCATAAATTTAATTTCTTTGAATTTTTGCCGATTTCAAATAGGTTTATTGTGATTAACTATGAAGAATTTGAAAATATATATTTCCCATAATAAAAATAGTATGGAGTACTCAATGATAATATACCTTTCTAACAATGAAATAATTTCCAAAATCGAATCAGTAGTACCGGAGATTACCGCGAACATACAAACTCTCAAACTTTACCTCTTTATAATATTAATGTAAGAGTAGATTAGTCATAGCTTGACTGCACGGATGGCGTAGTGGTTTAAGCGGTCACCTCGTCGCTTCCTACTGCTCTGAGTGTTGTGGGTTCAATCCCCACATTCGACAACACGTGATCCACGAATTGTTGTTTTGAGCCTGGATGTCCTTAGAGTCCGTTTCATGAATGTTTGTAAAATTCCCCGCGACACGGGATTTACTCGAAGTGCGAGAGTTGTCTTATAAAAACAAAATATAATCAAAAATACATAAATTGTTTGTTTTGTCCGTAGTTCGTCCGTAGTAACCGTATTAAACATACCGTTTGCTTTTATAGCGAAGATCAAGATCGTTTTATTTCCACTTTCTCCATAATAAAATATCGATAACAAAAAATGTTAAGTTGACATGACCAAAAAAACTCCTAAAAAGGTTTTTTAGCAGTTTGTCACGACACGAGTCGATCGTACGAGACCCATGTGACACGGCACTTGTACATTATATTGCAACATTTGAGTCAAATTCGTTTCTCGGTCAGTGACAATATTGTATGGCTGTATATATTCGATTCTTTTTAAGTCAATTTTGAAAAAATAATGCATGTTTTTTATAGTCTTTATTACAAGCTATGCTTAATTTAACAAACAACATGTTAGAATGTTTCCTCAAAGTAGGTACCAACATGCATGAGCATTTATTTGATAAAAGATTTTCTTCTCTGTTGAGTATATAACAGTAACTTTTAATATTTAAGCATCTGTTTATTCAACAAACAAAGCTAACAATAAACCACTACAAAACGTAAAGAAGCAAATCTTATTACACGTCACGACTATAGTTATATCGTTACAGTAGAAAGGCGTGATGTTGCATACAATATCGGACAACGACGCGAGTTACGTCCTGTCCAATACCGATAAATCAGATACGGGTGATGAATGACCGTCTCGCTCGTGTGTCCACTTCCTAATATACTTCCATATTTCTGTTGAACAATTTAATTGTACCATAGTATTGTGTTGCCATAGTTTAATGAGATGGCAAAAATAAATAATATTAGCTATAATATTAATACTAAAGTTTTCGAGCTGTTACATTATTAATAAATGTATTTCCCCTTCTTTTTTAGGTACCGGAAATTACCCTGAAATTATAAACTCTCAAACTTTACCTCTTTATAATATTAGAGTAAGAGTGGATTATAGATTGACTGCACGGATGGCGGTTTAGGCAGCCACCTCGTCGCTTCCTACTGCTCTGTGTTGTGAGTACAGTCCTCACATGGAACAACACTGTGGGTGATCCACAAATTTTTATTTTAGGTCTGGGTATTCTTTGTGTCCGTTTAATGAATATTTGTAAATCCCCGCGACAAAGGATATATTCGTAGTCCGAGAGTTGTCTTTTAAAAACAAAATAGAATCAAAAATATATAAATTGTTTGTTTTGTCCGTAGTCCGTAGTAACCTATGTTCATGCAAAAAAAACCGCTTGCTTATACGCTTGCTTGCTTTCTATATGAAAGGTATTCCGTGTTCATTGTTGTAGTATTACAGGCGCAGAGTGGCACACCGTGTGGTTTAAGTCGGTCCGATTCCGACCCCCCCCCCCCCCCCCCCTCCACTGTAAACACCGGTGTTCCACACGTAACAAAAAAAAAAATATATCCAGCAATGTTTGTGTAAAATTGGATGTACGGTACGGCAGCGGTAGAAATGAAAAGAAGGGCATGAGTTTATGGACCTATAGGCTGGGTATATTCCAAAACAGAAAGGTTTTATGAAATTATCTTCACTTTCAACGGCTATACCTACAGAAAACCGGTTCCAAGTAATTATTTCGTTGTTTTTATCCAAGTGATTGAGGTTACCGGAGCCCAACCCCTCTTCCACTTGATGAGGGTTTATATAAAATTGATTGTGATTTTACTCAGTATTACTACATTATTACAAGAATTTGAAAATACTTCCGCCTGATTATGACAACATTAATTATATCTTACAAGTGTACTGTTTTGACATTTAGCTACATCCTCGACTTGACAGGCATCCATAGTCTACCCATTGTTCTCATTAGTAAAGGTCATGTCAATCATAACAGGTCTTGTGACAGTTTATGGGAAATAATTAAAATTTGTAACATTTCATTTGTCATATAAAATTACTATTACTCGTAATAAATACTAAGTCTCTTTTATAAATAATAAGTCTCTTTTAGACTTTCATTACTATCCACAGTATAGATTTGTAAACATTGTAGAGTATTATTATATTATTATTACAGTTACTTATTTCATATGCATGAAAATTTATATTTACAGTAGTCAATTTTTTATATAGGTATATGTATTATATTTACAAAAAAAGAATCTAATTTTGTTTATTACTTGTGCCCTATATAATATGTGTGTGTGTTTGCTTACATAAAAACTTTTTATTATTATTAAAAGTTATATCCTTTTATTTATATTTTTTTCTTGAAACAAACCCTATACCAACCCGTCTGGCCAGCGTGGTATAGTAGGCCAAAACCTCCTTTCTAAGGAGAGTCCAGCAGTGGACTATTATAGGCTGTTGATGTGTGACGATGATGTGATGTGTGTGTATTTCTTATTGCATTGTTTACATCGTATTCAATTCGTATCCCATTGTCTATGAAATACATATAAACCATTAAAGTTTAAAATCATCAAAAATACTTACAAATTAATTGGATCCGTGCAATTCCATGGAACACATACACCAGCATCACAATACCCTTCACAGTCTTCCTCACAGGATTTTGGTTTCACACATAACACTCCATTTTTATCCTTCACGTAACCATCATTGCACAAACACTCATCAGGGGCCGAGCACACCCCGTTAATACAAGGTACTGAACATACAGGTCTGCAAAAACCGCCTACGTATACATATCCACTATAACAAGAACAAATATTTGGAGCAACGCACTCTCCGTTTGAACAGCTATCACATTTAGGAGTACATGTAGTTTCATTAATACGCACGTAACCTTTATAGCAAGAACAGTTTCCAGGAGCTACACATTCGCCATTAACACAGATACAGTCTGGCACACAACCTAGATTATCTTGGATGCGAAATCCTGGATTGCAAATACAAGTATTGGGCGCAACGCAGTTGCCATTAGAACAGTTACTGCATTTAGGAACGCAAGTAGTCTCATTCACAGGTATATAACCTTCGTAGCAGGAACAAGTGTTAGGAGCTATACAATTTCCGTTAACGCAATCACACTTGGGCTCACAGGCAGTTCCATTCTTGAACTCGAATCCTGAATCACAGGTACAGTTATTGGGAGATGCACAGGAACTATTGATGCACGTTGATTCGCATATTGGACGGCAGTTGAGGTTTTCATCCACAGTATAACCAGTATCACATTGAAAGCAGTGTGTAGAGTTATAGGGGTTGAAATTCTCTTTGCAGGTACATGTGTTATTTTGTAAGCAGTTGGCATTAACACATTCTGGACTACAGGTAGGCGTAACGCAGGTATTGTTCTCGTTGAGGTAGGCAGGTTCATTGCATTGACAGGTGTCTGGTTCGATGCACGTTCCATGAATACACTCGATGCTACAAATTGGTGAACACGTATCGAAATCGTTTACATATTGGTAGCCCTTACAACAAACTGTGTGGTTCATCCACGTAAGATAAGTCTGAAATTAAAAGTAAATGGATTTTAACATATGTACATTGCAATTGCTCCTAAAGCTGTATTTACATCACTATTCCAAATTTATATCGACTTTTTTTAGAAATGAAATCATCACATTGACACCCCGGGTGTTTCGCAATATGAAAACAGATAATTTGGACAATGCGTTGGCATAATTATTTTGGACTAATTTGATGACTGAATGCTTTCTGCACCACACTGTTCCAATAGCAGTCATAATCCACACAGTCATTAATGAGATGCTAAACGAAGTTCCTTTTAAACGCAGCTTGACGTCTATCCTATAGAACAACTGACATAGATTTTTACCCCACCCTGCGTTGACATAGTTTAGACTTTAGATGGGACAAACAATCAATTCAGAGTTAGTTCGATCCTCGTTGCTGCTTAATACCGCAATAATCTATTGAATTCTAAGTAGGTATTTAATTAAGTTTAAATATGTTACCTCATATTTATATTTCCTAACTATACACCTTCTATGTCCACACATTTTGTTCACCATCGCGCTATAGGACTTCCTTCGCCTTTGTTGAGTACTGTATGAACAAATACAAAATTTATTTACTATATCAATATCAGTAATCAAAAGTGTCATAATAACTTATTATTACTTAGTATTCTATAATTATATGTTAAAAATAATCAGCCAATTACATGTGATTTGTGATAGGCATCACATATTAGAAGGCTCTATGCTTGTTTGGCACCTTATTAAAAAATACATAGTTATTGCATGTTATAATAACCGCTTTCAACCAAACGACTTCGATGCTTGTCTCAGTGTTAAAAAGAGATGATTACTAAGTAATTGTTACCTTTGCTTAACTACACACACTCCTTTGCCGTTAGCGTCCAGACCTTCTGTATAACACACTAACTCCACTGCTATTAAAATTATAAAACAAAAGGTTACTATTCTTAAACACATTTTAAATTTAATATATATATGTATATATATAGGTATAATTATGATCAATATATTTCAATATTTTTTCAAAAATTACACGATCTATTTACACAATTAACAAATCACACCACCAATATGTCAGTCAGTCAACCACACTGTGATGCGCACTATCTCCTAAACTATTACAATGTCCATAGGGTACAACCCAGGCCTCACTGCGAGCGATATATAGCCAACTTCACTGCATACTAATTTAAAAAAAAACAATGGTTTTGTCAGACAGGAATCGCATTTAGGTCATTGAGATTAACTACTTGATATTATGCGTAGTTATAATAACCATTAAAATTAATGATTATAATGAATTTTACACTTTTGTACTAAGTTCAAACAAAAGCCCATTAGATGTGCTTAATACCAGAAGGTAATTAATAATAATAATTAAAGTGCTTTCTACCTAGATTTAAAATTGGCATAGCTTGTACGAGTACTATAGGTTTTAGGTAAAAAATATAGAGAAAACTTCGATACATTTGTTTTTATTTTAATGTTTTGAAGTACATTATACTTCAAAATACGTAGCCCAATGCAAAAAGACTCAGTAATGTATAAAAATATTTGCTCTGAGAGGGAATTAATCTAATTGGTTTCATTTAAATGAAACCACCAATACTGTCTTTGCGCCAGTATCGAAGCGGTTAAAACACCATTGTGTCTTTCTCCCACCCATGGTTTATCTAGGCATCGCCCGTGCGAATAGTTTCTGAACCTCTAAAAAAACATCATATATACATCTACTTAATAAAATAAAATACTCAACACCCAGGTGACAGAGAAATACTTCCGGGAAATCCATTAAGCCGCTACGCTACGCTATTTTTGTACAATAAAACTGAATATAAATAGACACCAATATCTGTTGCCTATTAAAATTGTTTAAATAGTGCCCAAAAGGAAAAGAAAAGACTCATTTAATTTAAATTAGAAAATTTAAAGAAATAATATAGGTATTCATATTACGATCAGTCTACAGTAGGACCCTAACTTTAACTCAAATTACAGGTTAACAGGTTGCATAAGCGTCATAACATCAAATAATTTATCAAGTTCCTCTATTACTTTCGGTGTTCCGCAGGACAGTTAGCGGTAGAGCCTTTCTTCATTTTCATTTATCCCTAAGTAATTTGTGCCTTATTTTGCAGTCTTAAAGCTCCAATTGTATTCAAACAATGACGGTATCCTGGCCATTTGCATGCTGTTCGTTATTCTTTTATTCTTACCTATTTATAGATCGGAAACTCCGGTTACGGGTAGTGACACATCAGTTAGCACGTCAATCGTAGGTGCTCAATTTAGATAATTACTGACTGAACAGGAGCATTAATTACATTTTGCGGTATTTATGTACCTTTAGGAATAAGTCATTTGTAATACAATGGCTTCACAGGTATTGTTATAATTAGTGTCTAATTTTCATTACAGTGCTCTACACATCCCAATACAAGAATATCATGTGAAAATAAAATTTGACTATCATTACTGGTTATTATTTGTAAAACAGTAATCGTAATTTTAGCCAAGGATTTGAACGTCGAATAGGTTTTAAATTCCTTGACGTCTATTAGAGCTAAACTAAGGGCGACGTGTATGATAAAGATTTTATTTATTAAATATAAATTTGCTTATTTAGAAAGATACTACTTAAACTTATTTACTTTTAACATTTAGCACAAAAGTGTTATTGGCGTTAGTTTACAGTGAATTAGTCAATAAAGTATAATAAATATTAAAATAAAAATGACTAGCTGTATGAATAGGCTATAACGGAACGTTCAAGTTATTTATCAACACTTGTCATGTTGAAATGTCAAACGATGTTTTTATTTGATATTTCTAAAATTTAAATTACTATACTTTTAACATAAACCAAAAGGTTGTGGTAATTTAAACTGGTATTGTGTGTGTAAAATGTGAATTTTGGTGAATTTCATATCAATTAAGGTAAATGAAAGTGAAATTGATGATAGTATGCCAAGTAATTCTTTCGTAAATAAAGTAAAGTAAATCTTTCGTAATTATTCAAAAAGAAATCATCGTAAAACACATTCATTTCCCCTAAATGCCCTAGAAATCACCGCTTGAGACTAGTTTCAGCTTGTCTCACGTAAACAAAGATCACAGCTGTCAAAATCTATACCTGAGTAATGATTTCGACATAAACATCGTTCTAAAATAAGCTATCACTCACTTGAGTATGGATCGGTGAATCTTAAAGAAGTACAGGCAAATCTGTGGCCTTACATAACGTTGTGTTAAGTAAGCAATTTTAAACAATATGCTAGGCTAGATACACATATTAAATATATTATAATGGTTTGAAAAAAGAAAACACATATAAATAAATTACACAATTAATCAAACTATGTTTTTAGGGAATGAGTAAATTAAAATAAGTAGAAATAGTGATTGTCTTGTAAAATTGTTATTCGTCTTCCGAAATATCCGGTCCGGATCCGGTGTTTCGGCACTGTGACCAAGATTAGTTTAAGACACTGATTTTTGTCGTTTTGTTCTGATTTGATGCTATATTAATTTTGTGTGAGATATATTATTATAGACAGTTCAAGTTATACTAACTAATGACTTAAAGTAAAAAAAAAAACAACAAACTATGTAACTATGAAAATCAACAACGATGTTCTCTAGTAAGTAATAATTTTTTTTTATGAATTCACAGGTACGTTTAACGTTTTAGTATGCTTATGAGAATATTGAATGCTTACTAAAACAACGAGTGACGTTTCACGAGCAAGAGATCAATGACACAACGGGAGAAATATAACGGATGCTTGCGATAGTATGTATTTATATTCCTATTACGCACATTATCGTATAATTTACATATCTAAGTTCCGCGTGCAGAGTCAAGTAGTGACACTGTTAGTGTCATATCGGCAGTTTGAAGTCGGAACATTTTTGTCTCCTTCAAATTTCTAAACAAAAGGTCACTTCATTTTTTTTCGTTTACGTGTTAGCAATTGCAAAAAAATATAGGCTCTGTAGACGTAGTAGTCCTATGAAATTCTAGAATACGAATTCTGTAACTCCTGTGATAAATGACACAACTAAAAAATCAACACTTTACAGGAGAACAAAAACAAGATTTGAAAAATTCTAGTTCGTGATCTAAGTGGGCTACGTTAAACTTGAGCACCTTCTTTTGTACATAAAAACAATTACTTTTAAAAATAAACACTTTGTGGTACCTAAATACTATAGTTTTAAGTAATTCTTGCAAACCTGTGAGTTGTACCTTTTTTTGAAGGGAGTGTAAACCACTTCGTTCTGTCTGTCTGGCTTCCCTTTCTCTCACGCTTACGGGAGCGGTAGGCAGGCTGTTCCTCTCTCACTCCAACCCACAGCGCTAGCCGTATTTCGGACAGACGCTTTACATACAATTTAAATAATAACCTAAGCTTTTCTTAAGTTAAACAATTTCAATATTAAATTGTTTAACTAAGATTAGTTATCACTATTGTCGGGCGTCCCGAGACGCACACGTTTTTTATCTATACTAATATTATATAGCTAAAATTCTTTCAGTGTTAGATAGCCGATTTATCGAGGAAGGCTATAGGCTATATATCATCACGCTAAGACCAATAGGAGCGGAGCACCAATGAAGAATGTTTCAAAAACGGAGAAAATTTATTACTATTGAGAGACGCAGACGAAGTTGCGCGGGTCAGCTAGTTTAATAATAATACAATACATGCCAAAATTATGTGATAATTGATCCAAGTTCAGTTAAATTATGTTGCGCCTATAAGTTGTTTTTGTGTAAATTAACAACTTAATTTAAAAACATCTAATAACTGATTAGAATATGTACTTATAGCAAAGTTGCTCAAACAAATGATGAAAAACCCCAAAGATCAGATTTTTTTACTTATCAGTCCCTTTTTTTCATAATTCTCATAAATTGTATCAGTTTGCTAAAATCTTGGGTTTTTTGATTGAGATGTTCATTTAAAAAATTAGATTAGGATTAGTAG